GTTCTCATCGACGATTCTAAACCCGGCGTTACAGGAGTATCGCGTTGAAATGCAAATAGTGCATATAACCAATCCTAAACCCCCAACCTCCACCCACAATCCGGCGTCTTGCCAAACATTATCTACATAGGTTTTTTCCTCAAGGTAATGAAAAAACCAACCTTCCTTCWTGTGTGGGTTATTCATATATTACAGGAAACAAGCCCCCTTCGTTAGAAGGTCAGGAAATAAATTCCCTTCTAGAGACTAACCACCGTAAGAGTGCTAATGGTTGCGTGATTATAAGGCCGATCTCTTTGATCATGTATGCTATTTACCGCGACGCTTCCAGTATCGTCTACTCTCATTTGTAGCTTTACCTTCCCGTGGCAATCGGCGACCATATGGAAAGTCCAAACCGATAAATTTTCATCGCTGCCGGGGGGCGGCTCTACGGAGAAATGCGCAGGCTCCCTGTTGTTCGTCTTCGCGCGCATAGGCTGCAGTACGCCGTTGTCATCTAGAAACCTGAAGCCCACGTTGGCATGACTACTCGTGCCAATGCAAATACTGCAAAGGATCAATTTCTTCCCTGAGTAATTCAAATTCACGGACATCCCGGTGACATCAACCCAAGATGCTTGGGTGTATTTTTTCTCGCCTGTGTAAGTCGTATAAACGCAATCTACTCCAGCTACGTAGGGGTTGCTTACGTCCATATATAATTAAGCCATTAAGTCAATAGCATCAAAGCTGGATAATAATATGTCACCCTTTATTCTATAGAATTTGATATGGCCATAATCAGTATAAAATACTATTGTGTATACATAATCTTTCGAATATGGAGTGAATGTATAATGATTACCATTAAACCCCGCACCATTGGATTGAGTCGTCGTCCAGCCTCCTGGAATCATGCTAACCACATACGTAAATGTCCAATCTCTTCGGTTTCCATCTAATACAAACTCCAACGCAAAAACTTGAAAATCTTTGGGGTACTTCGTAACACCGTCTACATTTACGGTCCCTCTGTAAATGGTACCATCACTAGGCATATTAACACCAGAAAGATCAAAGCTATATCTTCTTGCTTTGGGTCCTGCAGGACCCTGTGGCCCGGGGTCGCCTTTGGAACCCTGTGGCCCGGGGTCGCCTTTGGAACCCTGTGGCCCGGGGTCGCCCTTGGTGCCTTGTGGCCCGGGGTCGCCTTTTGACCCTCTTTTATCTAAATGTGGGTTGCTTACATCCATATATAATAGCCCAGACCGACTGCTGTTACTACCAAGCCTGCTTTCAAAGCTTCGTGGTCATATTCTTCTTTTTTTGTATTTTTAGGCTTTCTTAAAATGTGTTTGGGTTTCTCCACGTGTGTATTCTTTGGCTTCTCTACGAAATGCGGTATACTTCGCATGGTGCTAAAATTAACGTCGTTCACCCCAAACTTCATATCCTTAGTAGCTCGTTGAAGTTTGTTGTTGTAACCCACGACGGAATTGGCGTTGATAACCAAATTACTTGGCATCAACCAACAACCAGGCGACAAAGCGTAATCCAGTCGCACTTTAGACTGCTGCACCGCTAATTGATATCTCT